TTTTTTTTTTCAAGCGTTAATTTTTCGTTCTTCATTTTTGGATTACAGCCAACTGGATGACACCACAACAATAAACGAACACTCACTTCATTCTCCAAATATCCAAGTATCATATGCATCTTTTGGATCCATTCTACCGTTTATAGTATTTGAGAAAATATGAAATTATTACTTAATTAATTATTGTTAAAAATCTACACTCTTTTAGTAATTAGCAAATATCTTCCGTACAATTAGAAACAAGTCGATATGTAAATATACTAATTATAATTGGATAAGCAAGAAATGAAATACGCATACTTGAGTTTAAGTAACCTATATTAATTAATGATTATTTTACGAACTAACAGAGTTAAATATTGGATATTCCAATACGAAACGTTACACTTGACCTGAATTTGCACCCATTTTTTTCTTTCTTCCTTTATTAGATTTCTACAACATAATCTTCCCATTCATCGCACTCAACGCAAAGATCCTTATTGTCTGTTTGTCCGCAGAAGTAAATCATAACACGATCGACGAGCCGATTAAAGTGCTTCACGTACTTCGCATTTGAAATCCGACTCGAATTGCGCCATCAATAAAATCATACATACATATTGTTTTTTTTTAAACTCTAAAACCCTGCAAAGACTCTTCAACTATCCTCTTCTCTCTCGCTCTACGATCATCAAGCGAAGAATACTAATTAGATTTTAATTACATGCATTCCGATCCATTTGCTCTTAAAGCGATAGCGCGCAATTGGTCTCGGCTGCACTTTTATTACGTCTCACACAAAAACAAGAAAAACCATCATCTTGATCATCATTAGCTCATCATCATCGTAATCATCCTATCCATAACGTAGTCGTCGTCTGTTTTAGCAAAGCGAGCAGCACTCCTTTCTGACATTTAAAGCCCAATATTCCGGAGTTATAAAATATAATGCAATTTTAAATGGTTCGAGTTTTTCGTGTCGGGGTTCGGCCACTTCGCGCACATCGTCCATCGACTTTCCCATCCAGTCCGGCCGTCGTGATCCCAGATACTCATCCATTTACCAATTGGTTTTAGCCAATTGTCACTTCTGGGTTTTAACACCGACAACAACAACAACAACAACAACAACAACAACAAGAACATCAATAATCCTCATCAAAGCACGTGAACAAGAAGGATGGAAATATTCCAAGAGCTTATGCCTTTCTAGCCGAATATTTTTATGAAAGAAGAGGTAATGAATCGCCTCTAAATCTGTGCGAGAGTGAGAGTTTAGCAATTGCACATGACCCAATTATTCCACATAACACACGGCGCATTTCTGCTATATTATTTTTTTTTTCTTCTTTTTGCTGCTATTTGTTTCGATCCTCCACTTCTCATCATCACCTCCTTACGTAAGGACGGAGATGAGAGGTGCTCTTGTAATTGCGCTCGCGCGAATTAATTCCTTCTTCCTAATTGCCTTCTCACTGTGACAAAACTACTTGAACTTTGAACTCTTCAGCTCAACTCTAATACATATTTCTAATTCTTCTTCAACGATTCATTACGAAATCGATTTTAATTGCAGACTTTCGGCCTTTTTTCTCTCTCTCTCTCTCTTATTTTAATTACAGGATGAGACATGACTGGACTCTTAAACCTCTTACGAAATTCTTTCTGTTGCAGCAGATTTCTATCGAATTTTCGAATTCCTCGCGACGCCTGCAAGGAAATTAATATACAAAAAAAATATAAGATGCATTACGCAGTCGAATATCTAGATCGGTGTATTCAAATTACGCAACGTTTTTGCGTTGCAACAACGACAATGCATTTCTTACATCTCAAGATGTTTTAAATTTTAACATCACTTTCAATTCTCAATGTAGAAATTAAAGTGAAAAGTTTGAATTTTAAAATGATTATATTTGAATTATTATACAGCTTTTGGTTTTCTTGCAATTCGTTGTTAAAGTTGGAACTGTAATTTTTGTTGGTATCGAAAGTTTATCAATTTTTATCGATAATTGCGGAATTCACTTTCATTTATGAATATGAGGATTAAAACTTGAACTATAAGCTACACAATGAGTAGATGTACATCATTGTGCTCCTTTTGGTTTTCCTATAATTCATTGTCAAAGTTGTTATTGTTCTAGGTCGAAATTTGGTTATTATCAAATTTCTTGAAAATTACGAAATTCATTATATATCATGAAGATGCAAACAAAAACTAGAGCTATAAGCTATAAAAGAGCATAAACAAATAAATTAAGATCATTTTGGTTGAAGAAATAACGTTATTCGATTGAAAATGTAATGCTTTTAGTTTATATCAAATTTCTTGAAAATTATGAAACTCACTTAAAATTAAGTATATACTGACCAAAACTAAAACTATAAGCTTTAAAATGAGCATAAAAATATAATTCAGTTCATTATTGTTTTCCTGTAATTAATTGACAAAGTTGAAGAAATGATGTAATTCGACCGAAAGTGCCTTGCTCTTACTTTTTATTAAATTTCTTGAATATTACGAAATGTACTTAAAATTACGAATATGCAGATCAAAACCAAAACTATAAGCTATAAAATGAGCATAAATATATAATTGAGTTCATTATTGTTTTCTTGTAATTAATTGACAAAGTTGAAGAAATGATTTAATTCGACCGAAAGTGCAGTGCTCTTACTTTTTATTAAATTTCTTGAATATTACGAAATTCACTTAAAATTACGAATATACTGATCAAAACTAAAACTATAAGCTATAAAATGAGCATAAATATATAATTGAGTTCATTTTGGTTTTCTTGCAATTCATTGTCAAAGTTTAGGTAATATTTTAACATCGAAAATGTAATGCATTTAATTTTTTTATGAAATTTCTTGAAAATTTTGAAATTTACTTAAAATTTTGTATATGCTGACCAAAACTGAAAATATAAGCTATAAAAGTAGCATAAATATATAATTAACAACAATTTGGTTTTCTTGTAATTAATTGACAAAGTTGAAGAAATGATGTAATTTGACCGAAAGTGTAGTGCTCTTACTTTTTATTAAATTTCTTGAATATTACGAAATTCACTTAAAATTACGAATATGCTAATCAAAACTAAAACTATAACTTATAAAATGAGTATAAATATATCATTCAGATCATTTTGGTTTTCCTGTAATTAATTGACAAAATTGAAGTAATTGAATTTTGCTACTGAAAATGCAATACTTTTAGATTTTATAAAATTTCTTTAAAACTATCACACTTACTGTGAACTATAAATATGTTAATTATAGCTAAAACTACAAGGTTTAATTTGAGTTTATAAGCATTAACGTGCTCATTTTGGTTTTCTTGCAATTCATTGTCAAAATTTAGGTAATATTTTAACGTAATGCATTAATTTTTTATGAAATTTCTTGAAAATTTAAAAATTTACTTAAAATTACGAATATTCTAATTACAAATAGAACTATAAACTATAAAAAGACTATAAATATATAATTAAGTTCATTTTGGTTTTCTTGTAATTAATTGACAAAGTTGAAGAAATGACGTAATTCGACCGAAAGTGCAGTGCTCTTACTTTTCATTAAATTTCTTGAATATTACGAAATGTACTTAAAATTACGAATATGCTGATCAAAACTAAGACTATAAACTATAAAATGAGCATAAAAATATAATTGAGTTCATTTTGGTTTTCTTGCAATTTATTGCCAAAGTTTAGTTTATATTTTAAGAGCGAAAATGTAATGCATTTAGTTTTTATCAAATTTCTGGAATATTTTGAAATTTACTTAAAGCTACGAATATGCTCATTAAAACTAAAGCTTTAACCAATAAAAGAAGCATAAATATATTATTGAGTTCATTTTGGTTTTCTTGTAATTAATTGACAAAGTTGAAGTAATTGAATTTTGCTACTGAAAATGCAATACTTTTAGATTTTATAAAATTTCTTGAAAACTATAATACTTACTGTAAACTATAAATATGTTGATTAAAGCTAAAACTACAAGGTTTAATTTGAACCGAAAATGTAATAGCTTTAATTTTTATGAAATTTCTTGAAAACTACGATGGTCACTTTAAATATTTAATATGCAAATTAAAACTAAAACTATAAGGTTTACAATGAGTATATTCAGTGAATCATAGTGTTTTTTGTTTTTCTGTAATTAATAATTAAAATAGTTACATTTTTTGAATTACTGAAAACTTATTGAACCATTAATTAATGAATTAAAACCATTAGAACATTTACATAAAAACTGTTGTATTTGTTCAACTTTGTTGGAATTTATATTCTATCTAGATTAGTTGTAGCAATGTATAATTGTATAAAATTATTGTTGGATATATTTGAGAGTTGGGTAATCGCAAGAAAAAAAGCTATTAGATCGTTGTTTGCTCGTGGCGAGAGCTTCTTTGATGATGATACGCGAGAGCTTAAAGTTCACGCAAGTCTGTGGAAAAGAAATTACATCTCGTGTGGCTATGAAAAAAAAAAACAAACAGTCGTTTGACCCGCGTCGTTTTGGTCCAGGAGAAAGGTGCGTTGGCGTTGGAATGGATCAGCCAACTACACAAAAAAAAAGAAAGAAAGATAAACACGAATCAAAATAAAGGACGAAGTCTTTGATCTTTGATTAAAAAGGATAAATTTAAACAGGGAGAAATTAAACGAAGCGAACGTGTGTCAATACGAATCAATTATATTAAAATATAGACAGCTATAATTATTAGTTTTCTTTTTTTTTTCTTCTCAAGTAAATATTAAAAAAAATCATTCATTAATAAAATAATAATAATATTAATAATATGCGAATAAAACATCATTATTTATATATAATATATTTGAAGTAAATTAAAAAAAAAAAGTGAAAAACGTAACAGCAACCGCAACCTTGATTAATCGATCGTCCATAAAAATTAAAAATACGTAATTATTGAAACAAAAACAAAATAGACAAAAACAGAAGACGAAACGAAAAACGTATACGGTATAATATAATATATATATATATATGCGCATATCTGTGAACTCTCTTTGCATATTTTAAGAAAATTAAAAAAAAAATAAATATAATGTATATATATTATATAAGTTTGCTTATTATTTTGTTGTTGTTGTTGTTAAAAAGAGTCGCTGCAATTAAAATTAAAAGAAAACGTTGTACTTGCATCTCGTGTTAATCGGGGGGAAAAAAATAAATCCGTTGCTTTGAATAATAGTACGTGAAGATTGAATATTAATAAATCAATTAATTAATTAATAATAATATGTCAACAGTAATAATATATGTTTGTATATATAAAAAAAAAGTGTGTTCTGCCGTTTTTTGTTGTTGTTGTTGTTGTTATCGTCATTAGTTTACATGACGATGCCTTGAAGTTTTCCGGCGAGGATTCGCTCAAAATGAGTGCCGTCCCAGTACACTTTTCCGCACGTCTCGCAAACGTAGAACATGTCCACTTTGGTGAGGAGGTCAGCGGGTACCGTCTCCACGTGAATCCTAGCTCCCAGTCTCGTCTGACACAGACCCACGTCCACATGTTCATCGGAATCTGAAAATTGAAATCAGAAATAATTAAATATGAAATATATTAGTTAATAACTTACATAAATCCCATTTCCTTTGGTTTATCCTGCTGTCTAACATCTGCTGGGAGTATCCGGCGGCTTCGTCCGCCAACGATGTCCGAGAATTAAAGTGGCGCTCCAGGTCGACGGAAGTCTCCGCAAGGGCGTTCATCGTCGACGGGGAAACTTTGACGAAATTATTTCCATTGCAAATCTACGAAGAATTAATCACATTATTCAATCACATATGAATAAAGTATTATACCTTGCATCTACTGAACACATCGTTACGCGACACCACGATATTGTAGTACTCCACGACCTGCTGGAGTTGATCCTCGATTAGGTCACTAACTATCCTAAGGCAGTATCCTGGTTTCACCGCTCCGTTGAGCTATAAATATTAATTAACAGTGTAGAGCAACGATTATTAATTTGATAAATATGTACATACAGTATTGAAGGTGTGGCCCTTGGTCAGGATGTACCTGGCATCGTCCATGTAGTACCGAACGCATTCCATGTGATCAGCATTGGAGCTGAGTATGAGCGTATCAATGCCCAATTTGCGGAGGTTCTTTCCGAGACCCTGCAGCATAGTATCACAGATGACCTTCACCTGGTGCGCGTACACCGGATCCGAATTGGGCGACGGTGGCTGAGGTATGAACGCCGGAGCAACGGGTTTCTTAAATAACAACAAAAACCGTAACGTGTGGCTCGCCTTCAATCAAACAATATACCTTCTTATGTAAACTCTTCTTCGGCTTTTGCCGATTCGATGTGTTCATCACCTGCATGCAGACGTTCTCGAATGGATAGTTGACTTTGAGAGCACACTCCCGAAGAACGTCGTACACCTCGATGAGGCAGTACGCGTCCAGAGCCGCGTAAACGATCTGACTCTGCCGTAGCGGTCTCTTCTCCCAATTAGAAAATTGATCCGCCTTGTTGAGCGGCAGCCCGAGCGTCGCTTGGACGAGCGAACTCAACCCCGAACCGTTCTCCGACTCGAAGGGCAGCTTGATCTTCCTGCACTTCTCGAACTCCTTGACGACGAAACCCAGGTCCAGGAAACCGTCCTTCGCGTAAAAATGTAGATACGGAATCGTCTGCTTTATCATTGCAATATCACCCGCCAATCCGAATCCTGCAAATGGTAGTACATTGCGTTGCAACGTTTCGTGCTGCTAGTGTGTGTGCTCTTTT